GCGTCCCCGCCATCATCGCCCCATCCTTCGCCCTCTCCATCCTTACTCCACCCCGCTCCAGCTGGGGCGGTCATCGGCGCATGGACTCTCCTTGTGACATCAGGTTGCTCTCGACCCCATCGCGGTGCTTTTGACTCCCTGGGATCACATCTCGTCGCGGGTTGTTGATTTGCTCCTGGACCCAGGAGTGCATCCAGAAAAACGATTATGGGGTGGTGCGGGAGATGTTGATTCTGTCCGGATGCGAGCATCATCGTACTCGCATCCAGATGCAGAAAGGTAATTATCAGACCATTGGTCGAATAATTGCCTTTCTGCCTCATTCACAGCATTGTTTGGGCGCGTTGCCACACGATGATGGCGCAGGCGTCAATAAGACTAGAATGCTACCATGACCATGCTGTCAGGCAGGCTACGCGGAGGATGTCCGAAGAAATGATCCCAGTGCGACCCTACCTAGGAGTTCGAGCCCCTAGGAAAGCAGCAGTAGTAGTAACAGTAATACTAAGCTAAAGCTAAGCTAAAGCTAAGCTGAAGCTAAGTTCAGCTGAAGCTAAGCTAAAGCTCAGTTAAAGCTAAGCTGAAGCTAAGCTACAGCTATAAGCCAAAGCTAAGCTGAAGCTAAGCCCAAGTTATAAGATAAAGCTAAGCTACAAATAAGCTAAAGCTAAATTAAAGTTAAGCTAAAGCCACGCTAAAGCTAAGCTAAAGCTAAACCAAAGTCAAGCTAAAACTAAGCTAAAGCTAAGCTAAAATTAAGCTAAAGTCAAGCTAACGTTAAAGCTAACGCTAAGCTAAAACTAAGCTAAATCTAAGCTAAAGTTAAGCTACAGCTAAGCTAAAGCTAAAGCTAAAGCTAAACTAAAGCTAGCTAAAGCTAAGCTACAGCTAAGCTAAAACTAAAGCTAACGCAAGCTAACGCTAAAGCTCCCAGGGGACTTGGGGAACCGCGGGGCGGATGCCGGGGGAACCGCCCGGGGCGGGGTGCACTGCCTGGCCCTTTAAGCGTGCGAAGTAAAAACCCTTCTAGGCAGAGCCGAGGTAGGGAAAAACGCTCGAAGCAACTAAGACGATCCCCGCTCGACGCTGCAGGATATTGAAACAGCTGACCCAAAGGGCCTGCCTAAAAGCTGCTGTGTGCATATGGCACGTCTGGGGCGCGGGTCAGATGTGGGCGCCTGCGCGTGAGCCATCATTTGGAAGCCACCAAGGGTCCTCAAATGATAGAATGACTTCACGCCTGAGCCCGCGCTGCGCGGGAGCGGGGGGGGGCGGGGGCATGCCGACCAAGGAATTCACGCACGTGCCCGAAAGAATGAGTATAATACTCGAAGGAACCCGCCAATGGTCTCAGGAATCCGCGCCCGGGCCATTAGAACACTCGGGGGCGCCCCCGACTGTGTTAATGAATCCGCGCCCGAGCCTTTAGAACAGTCGGGGGCGCCCCCGAGTGTTCTAAGGAATCCGCGCCCGGGTGTTCGGACGGTCGGGGGCGGCCCCGAGCGTTCTGGTGAACTCACCATCAACCGCCACCTTCAGGCGCTCTAGAGATGCGCGCCCAAGTCCTTAGAACAGTCGGGGGCGCCCCCGAGTGTTTTAAGGTCGCCCCAGTCGAGCGGCGGCCAAATTTTCGATTATGGAGCAGTGGCGTCATCAAGCCTTTTCCCCAATATATTTTTGATTGCGTGGAAAGGGCGACTGTTGCAACAACGTCGTGCTGGCGCGAGTCCGCTGCAACACTCGGGGGCGCCCCCGAGTGTTCTAAGGCGCGGGTCGAGTTGCATGGGGACCTCCCCTCGCGACCGTTCTAAGCTTAGAACGGTCGGGAGGGTGCGTGCCCATGTGGCCCAACCCCCGCCTTAGAACACTCGGGGGCGCCCCCGAGTGTTGCAACGGACTCGCGCCAGCACGAGTCTCTTAGCACACTCCCCCCCAAAAACCTAGCCAGAAAATAATTGAGAATTATTGGCGGTTCTGCGCTCAAGCATTTTCGATGGCGCCCCCTGAGTAGCCATTTCGGCCGTGGGGGCTGGGGCCCCACCCCTTCTGGCACCATCGACCATGCCCGCAGCGCATGTCCGCAAATCCAACCTCAAGAAGAAGCGTCCCACACAATTCATCAATGTCAGCAGCGACTGCACAGGATTCGATCCAGGTATCTTGGCACTCAACATGTTGGGATTGGGCCATCGCGTTCGGCATGGTTTCGCATCAGACACGAATCCACACATACGCAACTACCTGAAGACGAATTTCAAGCACGCTGTCGTGCACGACAACATCCAAGGTCGGAACAACGTGGCCTTGGCAAAGAAACTTCATGAACGCGGTCTGACACCAGATTTATACACAGCTGGCTGGCCATGCACCCCCATCTCCACCAGCGGCAACATGATGGGCACGGATGACCCGACCAGTGGGACAGTAGGGCTCTCAGTGGTAATCACCATAAAGGCTGTGAAGCCCAAAACGTTTGTCTTGGAGAACGTCCCAGGCGTCGCCACTAATCCCAAATTCAAGGACCTCTACGACGCAATGATGAGCGAGCTGCGCGCCATCAAGGCGTCTGGGGGGAAAGGGTTTCAAACGAACATGTGTAGGTTGGATGCGTCCTGACCTCCCCTCACTACCCAATCCCACTTCTGCTTCCTGCTCCTCCCCCACGCTCCGTGCCACCTCCTCCACCTCCTTTTTTTTGTGTCCAACCGGGGGCCCACTGGCGCGAAACTGTACAACATCTACACCAAAGTGGTGGACGCGAAGACCCAGGGCCTCCCGCAGAGCAGGAAACGATTGTTCATTGTAGGCATCCAGCGTTCGAGTGAAAAGCACGCCTTCAAGTTCCCAGATGATATCCCCTTAAAGTACACAGCGAAGGCTCTCCTGGGGAGCAGGGTATCTGAGCCCCCAGAGCTCCCGGCGACGCGAGGGGCCCAGAGGCGCCTCATCGAATGCGTCAGGGTTGCATCTCAGAAGTTCGACATGTCACACGCCGTTTTCATGGACATCGAGGGTTCCAGTCCGTTCGTCATGGAACACATCTGCCCTTGCATCACAAAAAAGAGAGGCGAGACAGGGGGGTATTACCTAACATATTTGCAGCGTAGGATGGGCGTGCGCACCATGGCTAAGTTCCAGGGGATCCCATTGTCTGATTTGGACAGGAGCGACCTGTCAGATTACGTTCTCGGAGGCACGATCGGCAATGCGTGGGCGATGAATGTAGGAACTCGCATCATAAAGAATGTGTTGATTGCCTTGGCGATTTTGCCATGCGGGAGCAAAGACCCCTGGATGTAGATTGCGGCTGGCGTAGCATAAAAGACGGAGGGCGCCTCGGATATGAGGGTTGAGACTCACAAAAAACAAACACACACACACACACACACACACACACACACACACACACACACACACACACACACGAGGTATGACAAACTTCGTAGCACCGCATGGCTGCGGGCATGTGGGGAGATGCGAGCATCGCCCCATTGCCATCCTCCCCCCGCTCCCCTCGCTGCAGCAACTTGGGTTCAAGCTCGTTCACGCTCAGTCGACCAGCCAGTCGACGTCCGCAGGAATCAACAACCTCGCATCCCTCGCCAGCGGCCGACATGTCCTCAGGCCCGCCAGCCGCCAAGCGAGGCGCGCGCTTGCCGAGGGGTGCTGTCATGAAGAGGCCCACCGCCGCCCAGCCGCCACCAGGCGCCTGGGATGACGATGGCCCCGCAGACACTGACATGGAGCAGGCGATGCACGACATGAGGAGGGGGCCCCCAGCATCGGCCGAGGACGTGGCGTCCGACGCTGACATCTCGGAGCCTGCGACGGAGATGCAGCAACCCGATGGCGATCGCCTCGGGTCAGCGTCGCCGTCGCCAGAGGCAGCGCAGCCGCCCGCCGCCGAGCTGGTTGCGCGGGCTTCGCCGCCGCCCGCCGCCCCCGTCGTCGCAGGGCGCGGCGGGCGCTCTGGGGGGCGCGGCGGCCGCGGCGGCCGCGGCGGCCGCGGGCGCGGCCGAGGCGCGGCTGCAGTGCCAGAGCCTGCCGCGATCGCCGACGCAGCGGCGGAGTCCACCACGGTGGACCCGGGCGCGAGCGAGCTGGACCGGGACATCGCGCAGCTGGCGTCGGTGAACGCGCCGACTTGGCACAACTTCCAGCTCATGCTCAACAGCATCAAGGAGCACGAGGCCTTCAAAGATGTCGAGACGCTGGACGCGCCGCACATCACAGGCCAAGTGTAACCAACTCCTTCGTCGATGCCCCCTCCTTCTCCTCCTGCTCCTTCTCCTCCTGCTCCTCCTCATTATCCTTCTCCTTCCCCTCCCTCCTCCTTCTCCCCATGATCTCCTTCTTTACCTCATGTTCCTCCTTCTCCTTCTCCTCCCCCTCAGTTTTCTCTCTTACTTCTTTGCGACGGGGCAGCCCTCTGCTGGGCTTCTTGGCCTTCGGAACGACGAGGTGGCTGAATTTTTGTTCGGCCACTTCGTCCTCGGCCTTGTCCTCCTCCCCCTCCTTCCTCCTCCTCCTCCTTCTCTTTCTCCTCCTCCTCCTCATCCTCCTGACTCCTCCTCCCCCCCCTCCTCCTCGCGTCCACCCTCCCACTCAGGCGCGGAGGGGACAGGCATCCAGGAACCCTTCAGCTCGGAGAAATTCAAGCTCGCAACCACTGGCGGTGGAGAGTGCCTTGGATGAGGGGATGACATAAAAAACAAGGGGGGGGGTCTCATAATGGATGTTCTCTGTCGCGACGTGGGCGCCCCGCTCAGACCCCACGAGATGGACCAATATTGCCAAACTGACTGACTGACTGACTGACTGACTGACTGACTGACTGACTGACTGACTGACTGACTGACGACTGACTGGACACGGAGGACCATTGTGATTTTTCAGATTGCGTTTGAAAATCAAGAGGGAGGAGAAAGAGAGAGGAGACGTCTAGAGGAGGATGAGGGGGGGGAGGGAGGAGCTCTCGGATCTGCCATTGTTCCGCCCAGGTACAAATGCGCCCAAAATTTCTTCCGGCACAATCTCTTCTACACGTCAACGCCGTCAGTGCCGTACCGCAACTCAGCGATCGACGACCTCGTGACCTACTTCTTCAACGACGGACCGCGAGATTTCCCGATGACCTTGGAGGTGGCAATCGGAGCCGGCAAGGACCCGCTTCAGTTTGACGACGTGAAGCGCATCACCCCTGAGGAGATGGAGTTCGCCTACCTGCGCGCCATCAAGATGTCGATCGATCGTGATGACCCCCCTGAAGTACTTGCGCGCTGGGCCAAGAGTCTGCGGTCTGTCTCCTACCACTACAAAGTGATCGACACCGAAGAGACCATATCCTGGGCGGCGCTCCGCTACCGAGAGACGCTGGAGCAGAACTTCAGGACCATGCAGTACACGGTGTACCAGAAAATCATGAACGTCATCTTCGTGGGGAAGAGCCAGCAGAGGATCAAGGGGCACCTCAGCTCGGCCCAGCTGGAGAAGCTGTACACTGAGAATGTTGGCTCCGCTTCCGATAGCGAGCTGGTAGCCCCCATCAGAATCCAAACCAATAATGGCCTGGATCGAGGACAGGGCGCCGATCCCATCGCGTCGATGTCCTCGAACCTTTTGGCTCGAGGTCGGCAACGTGGTTGGATCGGCCTCAAAGGCAGTGAGCAAGGACTTCATCGACACGGCAAACACCTTCCACGAGAGGGTACTTAGCATCCAGTCCTTGGCAAAACGGTGGCCCATCATGGATAATGACAAGAAGAACCCAGTGAACGGGATTACCAAAATCCAGGCTGTCATTTCTAAGGCGTCGAGTCGAGAGAACATCGAGTGGTGCTTCCATGCGATCTGGGACTGTCATATGGCCGGCAATCTACCAGATGGCGTTGGGCTGCGGACCCTCAAAGGCAACGCCAATAAAGCTGGAGGCAAAGCCAAAGGCCTGGTTGACGTCCTAGTGTTCAAGCTTGCCGTGAAGAAGGAGCTGTTTGTCTACGCGGACACCAACTTCAAGTGGAAGACTGGCATCCTGGACTCGATGGCACAGGCGTGCGCGACTCACGAGAGCTTCCGCGAGAAGGTCGGCTTCCCCAGGGGTGGTCTGCATGGTGTCGTGCCCGATCAATCGTGGCGCGCAGGCTGGCCCGGGTCTGCTGATGAATTCTTCGACGCGGTGGAGGCCGTCATTTTCACCACCGACTACGACGAGATTTTGACGCAGCACTGCAAGAACAGGAAGACCGCGCAAGAGGCCATCCACACGACAGGGATCAGCGAGCTGATGGACGCCGTGAATGAGAAGTTCTGCGAGGAGAGGGACAAGCTGAAGGGGCGCGAGAAGGCAGCCGCGAGCTCCGGAGGGGGCAGCGCCAGCGCGGCACCTGTCGCCGACGGCGATGGCCAGCCCCACGGCGACGGCGACGGTCTCCCTGCTCCTGACGATGATGACGTGGACGGGCACATGCCGACCCCAGAGAATCTCAGCGAAGAGAGCTTCATGAAGGTCCAGCGTTTCCGCCTCCACGCCAAGCGCCACGTCTCCACCTACGGGTCCTTGGTTGTTGAGCCCAACAGCGAGGCCCAGCTCACTTCGTTGATCGCCAACAGCCTCGCAGGCAAGGCGCATGGCGTGGTCGAGTTCGATGATCAGAATGGCCGTGTTACCAGAACCAACAGATCGTATGTGCATATCACATATGACCCGAAGACGGCTGGGAGGGCGGACAGCACTCCGCATTTGCGAACACCTCCACTGCGCAACAATGGAGCCCACGCCATCAAGCTCATCGGCGCGGCGCTGAGGGCGAGGGGCAATGGCAAGGAGGAGATCGCCGAAGGAGACTTGTACGTGATCTACGACGGCATGAAGCACGGCAACGAGACATCATTGACCGACAAGCCGTTCCGCACAGTGGAGAACAAGTTGATGTTGAAGAGCATGCGCACGATCAAGTGCATGTACAGCGAGAAGAGCCTCCGCGAGCGCCTCCGGAGGGACAGGCACGCGAACGTCCAGCAGGTGGAACACTTGTACCTGATCTCCAAGGACACGATGAGCGTCGAGCAGCGGGACCACAAGTTCTACGAGGGGACGAACCTCGGGGAGCTGCTGGGCTACGTCCAGGCGGTGCCGTGGGGCGACAGCAAGCGCACTCTGCGCGTGGAGCCTGCGATGGTCAAGGATTTGCCTGGGCCAAATTTGAGCAGGAGGCGAGGCGAAGGATGAGGCGAGAAGGAGGAAGAGGGTGAGGAAGATGAGGACGAGGGGGAGGAGGACGAGAGGAGGAGGAGGAGGAAGCGGAGGAGGAGGAGGAAGAGGAGGAGGAGGAGGAGGAAGGTGAGGAAAGAGGAACTGGTCCATCGGATTCTCTCGGCCCCTGGCCCTCCAAGGTTGTTCCCTACCTAGGCTCTGCCTGGAAGGGCTCTTACTTTATGAGCTTAAAGGGCCGGGCAGTGCACCCCGCTCCGGGCGGTTCCCCCGGCATCCGCCCCGGTTCCCCCAGTCCCCTGGGAGCTTTAGCTTTAGCTTTAGCGTTAGCTTTAGCTTTAGCTTCAGCATTAGCTTAGCTGTAGCTTTAGCTTTAGATTTAGCTTAGCACTAGCTTAGTTTTAGCTTTAGCTTCAGCTTTTTTTTGCTGTAGCTTTAGCTTTAGCTTTAGCTTTAGCTTTAGCTTATCTTTAGCTTTAGATTTAGCTTAGATTTAGCTTAGGTTTAGCTTAGATTTAGCTTAGCTTTAGCTTTATGTCAAGCTTGATATGTAGCTTTAGCTTAGCTTTGGCTAAGTTTTAGCTTAGCTTTAGCTGAGCTTTAGCTTAGATTTAGCTTAGCTTCAGTTTCGCTTTATCTTAGCTTTAGCTTAGCGTTAGCTTAGCTTTAGCTTAGCTTCAGCTTAGCTATATCTTAGTTTCAGCTTAGCTTTAGCTTAGCTTTAGCTGAGCTTTAGCTTAGCTTTACTGTTACTACTAATGCTGTTTTCCTAGGGGCTCCAACTCCTAGGTAGGGTCGCACTGGGATACTTTTGTTTTTGTAGTTTGGCAACCCCCCTCCTGGCCTTTTGCCCTCCAATTCCACGGAAGCCTCTGCGGGGGAGGGGCATTTGACTTCTTCTGCAGGGCTCCACTGTGCCCCCGAATAACAGCGCCCCAGTGGAGGCTGGGGGGCCGAGTTCGGCGCGCACTGGCGCGGCAACTCACCCCGAAACATCCTCGCCCCTTTCCTCCGCGCCTCCCCTCATCACCCCAACTCCTCCTTCATTTTTTTCCGTGGGTGGTCTCACTAGTAGGACGCCATCGGCAAGAGCGCGAAGGTCCTGGTGGGAGGGAAGCACCCGGACGGCAACATTGCGAAGCCCACGTTCGCTGACGGCCTCGAGCCGCTCTTCTTCCAGGCCCACCCCCATGAGCTGGATGACGAGACGTCCTCGTCGTGGCCAGCTGCGTCTCACATCGATCTCACAGCAGGGACGGGGGGCCGAGGCGAGTGGTGTCTGGCCAGGAAGCTCCCGTACTTCGGCCTGGCCCTGACCGAGGTGCACAAGGGTCTCCTCATCAAACACTGGGAGACCGCTGTCTGGAACATGTTTCAGACCGAGGGTCACCTGTTGTACCAGCCGGGGCTTGTCGCCGCCATGCGCGTGGACGACGAGGGCACGAAAAAGGAGGACGGCAACAACGAGGAGGCTGAGGAAGAGCAGGACGAGCCAGACGAAGAGGAGGAAGAGGAGGACGAAGAGGAGGATGACACACCGCCGAAGGGACCGCTCAAGAGGCCGGCCGCCGCAAAGAAAGGTGCGCTCCTGAAGAAATTGAAGCAGATGCAGGGCGAGCAGGAGGAGTGCGATGATGACAATTGGTGAGAGATGATGATGAATGAGCCTCCCGAGCACGCAGTTTAAGTGTTTGCGCGTTGTACGCGCCCGCGTGTTCGTCGGGAGGCTGCCCGTGCCTCTAGACCCGAGCGACCACTCCCCTGCTCGGAAGGCCGCCGTGCGGCACGTCGCGCTGCTGCCGAGCCCTCCTCCTCAGATCATCCTTCCACCACCCTCATCCTCCCATCATCCTACGGACCCTCATCCTTCCACCGCCCTTCCCCCCCAGGCGGCGGCGCGCCTAGTACACCATAATGAGGACGTTGCGCGAGAGGAATAGAAAAACCTCGGGGGGGGCACCTGCCTGGACAAAACGGGGGGCCAAGTTCAAAACAACGACGCTGGCAATAATCCAAAACGACGGTCGACGACGGTTGATTGGCAATCAACCGTCGTCGATCGTCGACTTCAGTTATTGTCAGCGCACCCCCTGGGAAAGCGAGGGAAACCCCTGTTGAGGAAAAGTCGGGCCGGGGATCGGAGCGCGATTTTCTCCACCTCGGCGTCGCCGATGCACCGCCGACGTCGCTGATGCATCGTTGATGCATCGGCGATGCGGCCCGATCCTGTGACCCCGTCCATCATCGTCCGCTGTCCGTCGTCATCGTCGTCGGCGCCCCGGCCCGGCTGCTCTCTCCGCCCGCGGCCGGCCGGGGGATGCGACGAGAGGAGCGAGGAAAAAATGAAGAGGATGACGAAGGATAGATAATGACGTAGGCTACGGAGGACGAAGGATGATGATGACAAGCAGGAGGAAGAAAGGAGGAGGAGGAGGAGGAGGAGGAGGAGGAGGAGGAGGAGGGGGGAGGCCTTCGGAGGGCCTCGGATACCTCTGATGACCTCTGAAGGCTTCAGAGGTCCTCGGATGTCCTCGGAGGTTTTCGGATGCCTTCCGAGGTCTTCGAAGGTCCTCGGATGTTCCCCGACATCATGGTGCACCTCCCACCTTGCGCCCGTATAGCTCCTCACTATCAAGGGGGCTGGACTTCGCCTTCCAGGCGAGATCCCTCCAACGGGGGTTCAAAACCGACGGGCTGGCATAACCCAGAAAAGCCGAATGAGTCCACCACAAGGGTTGAAAATCCTCAAGCGCGAAACGCGACGCTTGGGAACCGAGGCGGGTCGGCGGAAAACGGGGGAGGATCTTATTCCCCCCGTTTTAGGGCCGAAACAAAGCTGATGATTCTCTCGACTGCGCCGGGGTCGCCGACGCAGGCGGGTGCCTAAGGAAGAGGAGGAGGAGGAGGAGGAGGAAGAGGAGGAGGAGGAGGAGGAGGAGGAGGAGGAGGAGGAGGAGGGCAAACTTTTCCATTATCCCAATGTGCTGAGCGCGGGCAAGTTGATCGCCAGCAGCTGCTGAAAGATCTGCTGGAGGCCCCCTCCACCTGGGTAGGAGTACTCTGAGCCGCCATCGCGATCGTCACCATCTGGTCCAGCGCCTCCTGCACGCGGGAAAGCGCCCTCACGCCCTCGGGCACCTGGGACAGCTGCCACTGGAGTCCCTGCAGCAGGGTACTCAGTGAGTTGACCGTAGTCAGCGCCGCCCCGCCGGCGCGAAAGGTGGGGTCGTTCTGGAGCATGTCCACTGCCTGCTGCGCCGAGGCGGCGGCGGCCCGCGCGGCCTCTGCGGCCGACTGCTGAGGAGGGCCTGCCGGGCCCTGAGCGCCTCGCGGCGCCCACACCAGTCGCTGCCCACACTGCAAGCACCTTGATCCCGATCCGCGCTGGTTCCCATAGTACTTGATCCGGTCGGCGGGATGCTGACAGGCGGGCGGCGGCTTGGGTGGCGGCTTGAGCGGCACCTGCTCGGCTGCGGGTGGACCCCCGGAGCCCAAGGATGAGCTCGCCGCTGCCGCAGGAGTCGTCCCCGCGCCTGACGACGAGGGCCCCCATCCTGTCGTCGTGAAACCAGGCGGGGGTTTGACTGCTGCTGGAGGTCCAAGCTGAGGATTCCCGCGAGGTTCTGACGCCCCTTGATGCTGTAGCGTCGGCCAGTCTCTCGGCCAGTTTGCGTCCCCGTGCGGCTGCCGAGGCTGAGTAGGCGGGAGTCCTGCCGGAGCTGGTGTCCCGCTCGCTGCCGGCTGCGTCGCGGGCGGGTGAGCCTCCTCTACCGTCCACAGCGGCCGGTCGGTCGACCGTGATGCTCCAGGTGTCGACTCCAGCTGCGCCTGAACCTCGACTGCTCCTGCCGAGGCCGTCGAACCGTTGCCCGGTCCACTGGAAGATCCCGGCTCCACCTGCTGCGCCGTGAACTCGGCCGTCGGATTGACAAAAGTGCCCGGCATCTCCGTATCGACTGAGGACTCGAGAGAGACCTCTGACTCTGACTCGTTCCGACGTCGAGCAAGAAACTCCTCTGTCGCTTTCTTCGCCCTTGGCTCGGTCTTGCCTCCCATGACCTGCTGGGAGAGCGTCCACGCCAGCCAGAGCGCCAGCAACATCGCTTGACCTTTCCGAGTGCTGCCTCTGGTCGGAGGAACGTGTATAATTGAAAGCTTCTGCAATTGAGCCCAAACTGGCTACGGAAGAAATCAACAGGGCAGACCACGCGACGAGGACCCAACTCGCCCTCCTGAGTCCTGCTCGTGCTCGAGACCGTCGGCCCTTCACCTTAGCTTGACTTGATCCCGAGGCCCCGGCCCGGTGATCTGACGCTAGCTGAGCTCGTGGCCACCTGAGGCCGCCCAAGACCTTCCCCTGGAACTTGTCTAAGTGCCCCCGAAGGTCCCCGAGCTTCCCCATACACGGTCCCCGCATTGTTGCACCGAGGCTGAGGATGACGATCAGGAGAGAGAGGGAGAGCAGGTACTGCGACACAACCCCGTCGTCTGACATCACGGGGGGCGCTCTGCCCCCGATCTCAAAAGAGTCCTTCTTCAAAAACGGGTAGCGCCTGAGCGCCGAGTCGGGAACGCAGGCGGGCGTGGCTAGCTTGCAAACTATCTGCGCCAGGCGATGACCAGAGGGTAGACGATTCAAAGGAATCACCTCGTCCAGAGTCTGGGAGGTCATCTCGTTGCCTGGCAAATCGATCAGGCACTTGAGAAAATCAAGCAAATTCACCGAAAGGATGTGAGGCACATTATCCGCCAGCACGGTAGTCTCGATGATCCCGAACACGCCTCCCAGGCACAGGGGGAAAAGCACCGCGCTGATGACCCTGCCCATGCCACCGATCCCGTGAGCGGCCTTGATCGGGCGGTGGGACCGAGGGATCTCGACGTACGTCAGTCCGTGAGTGGCAAGCGCCTGGGCCTCCCGGTTGAGCGCCTGCACTCCTACCAGGTCGCTCCCGGCCCCAGGATCG